GGCAGTTATCTGGCTGTTTTCTTTCTGTAGATTACACCATCCACACTAATGCAAGCCTCACATCAATTCCCATGAGAGAAGCTACAGACCCTCTGTGTGCTGTACTGTTTAGATAACACATTTCCACAATGAATAGGTTTCTTTTTCTAACTTTCAGATCATTTAGCAAAATGTCTGTTCTAAAGTGGTAGTGTAAATGATTTTTCATGCACACAGTTTTTGTTTTGGTGGTAGTTTCTTCCTCCTCCTCCTCCTCCTCCTCCTCCTCCTCCTCTCTTCTCCTTCTCTTCCTTTTCTCCTTCTCCTTCTCCCTCTCCTTCTCCTCCTCCTCCTCCTCTTCCTCCTCCTCCTCCTCCTCCTCCTCCTCCTTCTTCTTCTTCTTCTTCTCTCTCTCTCTCTCTCTCTCTCTCTCTCTCTCTCTCTCTCTCTCTCACACACACACACACACACACACACATTTCCCTTGGAATTTTTTCTTTGTGACTTTGGACTTCTGTTGGGCAAGAAGAGTATGATGTACGCATATAACTTAATTTCTCTCTGGTGGCCTTTTAAATTCAACACTCACTTTCCTTTCCTGATAATCATTTCTTCACAGTCTGAAAGTGTCCCACCCCCATGCTGCATCCTAGTTGTTTTTTTAATACGTGCACCAATGCACAGTATATAAGTCATTGTGTCTGGGCTGCTATGTCATGAGCTTCAGGCGGGCACTGACAGGTCCTCAGGCTTTCTGACTGGCCTTTGGAGCAACCCGATTTACCTCTTCATTATAATGTTTGCTCCACAATTGCACATCTAGTTGACTAGGTAGAGGTTACAATTCAGAGTTACTCACTGGAAATACCAACAATTCCTTTTCTTCCGCTTCATTCAGACAATGTACATGACCTGTCTGAATCACCCAATGACAGGAATGATGAACATGCCCTCCTTCTAGTCCCTCCTATTTTAAGCTTAAAAAAAATAAGTATGGGAATGCCCACTCAGGTTTCACAGGGTGTTTTGAAGAAATATTTCTTCCCACACATGAATGTGAAGAAAATGCCCATATTTTTAAAAGCCTGGGAAGGATTTTTTTGTCCTCAAGTGTTAACGGGAAGTTGTAGATGAGTTAAGCATGACAAGTTGTGATAGATTGCTAAAGAATTGTGACATAGAGGAACTGTTGACTGTGAAGGTAGAACATACAACAATTATGTATTTTAGATGTTTATTAGTGCATAATAGCTACATAAAACAATAGGCTTCCTTGTGACTTTTCACACATGCAAGTGACATAGTTTGATCTCATATTCTTTGTTAATTTCATGTATTTGGGATGTTTTGATTATTGTAGCAAGTCAAAAAGCACTTTTCCAAATGGATACTCTTAAATAAAATTTAAATTATATTAAATTTGAATTTACATTACATTCACTGTAATTTATGTGTCTAGCAGGAGAAAGATTTGATATTTCTGTCCATACTTACATAACAGATCAGAAAAAAATTATAAATCTTCTATTACAGCAAGTTTGAGCCTGAATTCTTCTGTCTCTTTCACTGTTGCGAATTGGTCCAATTATTTTCTCAATTTTCCTCATTAAAAATATTTATCACTTGGAGCCGCATCCAGTCTCTCCACCCAACCAGCTACCTCACACCCTTCTCCAGGTGCTAGCCTGGTGAGTCTCCTTGACACTCTTCATCCATATACCCTTCCAACCCACCAACAGAACCAGTGCTTCCACCAGGTCTGGCCACCCTGCTTGTACAGCAACAAGTTTCTAGACTTCTGTCCCTTTTCTACCTGTCCCCCAAGTCAAAGGCCCCAAGTCACATCCAACCTTTTAGTCAGCTAGATCTACCCTAACACTCCAGGCTTGAACCAGGCAACACCTATCCACTACCCCAGACCCATCACTCCACATGACTTCATTCCACCCAACCCATTTCCATCCTCTAAGCCCAACCTCCCCATATATAGTCTCTTCTGACCCAGCCTGCTCTGTCCAAATCAGACTTAGAATTAATAAAAGAAATCACATGGCCAGATCACATTGCCAAAATACCAAGAACATGGAAGACCAAGCAAGTATCTTCGCTCCAAAACCTACCATTCCTATAGAGATGTTTGCCAGTGAAAATTACTTGGATGAACCCCAGGACACAGAAATTAAACGAACAATTCTAAACTTCAACAAAGAATGCAAGAAGTTTAAAAAAGACACAAAGGAACATCTAATAAAATTAAAGAGAAACAACTGAAGGAGAATAAATACCCGAGTGATGCCCAAGAAAACACAAACATAAGGCTCATGAAAACAATAAAGACAATCTAAGACTTGAGAATAAATTCAAAAAGCCGATAGAAACATTGAAGCAGACAAGCCGAAATGAAGAGAGACTTGAACAATCCAATAACTCAAAGGAAAGCCTTGCAATTAGAATTAACCAAGAATGCCAAGGTGGAAGGAGGAAAGCTTACAAGACCTCAGGCCCCCACAAAAACTAAGGAATGCTGAGAGCGGGAGAAACAGCCTTCCCAGAGAAGAGCACACCCACTGGCTGCCCAATACCAAACGGTCAGCCCTAAAAACGCACATACAAATAACATTATGCAGAGTGAGTAGGCTGTATTTATAAATATATATATATATATATATATACACACACATATATTTATTAGACATATACATAGGAATATGTGTACATATACACATATACTATGCATATACATGTATGCACGTAGCAGCAATTACAGAAAAAAAGAGGTTGTGAATTTGAAAAAGAGCAAGGAAGCACATATGGGAGAATTTGAAGAGAGGAAAAGGAAGGGAAAATGGTATAATTGTATTGTAATCTCAAAAATAAAAGAAAAAAAGATGTTAAAAAATGTTTATCACTTGTTATGTTGGTAATATCTTTACCACGCAAAACTATACCTAAATGTTTTATCAATTTTGTACATGTGGGGACACACACATGTTGGTAGGTGCATGAGAATGGAAGGTATTTACTTATTTGTGGGATAGAATACAACTTCAGGCATCTGTCCTTTGTGGCCTCTGTTTTTTTGTTTTGTTTCATTTTGTGTTTTGAGGCAGGGTGTTGTTATCTGTTCTCGATTATCTACAGTGGCTGCCCCTCAAGCAACGGCTGTCCTAGTCAGAGACTGCGGCTCCTCTGCTACCTGCAGTGGTTAGGCCACAAGGGCCGCAGCCTGAGGGGACTCTGTTCCCTCGGGACTCTTTCAAAGCCACAAAGGGAAACTTGATCTAGATCTGAAGAACTCAGGATTCAACAGTTTAGGTGGACTTCTGCTTGCTCAGAGAGGCTGAAAAGCAAGTAGCCAACCTTCGCCTTTTGCTACATCTTCCAAAAAACTCCAGTGCCCTTCTCTCAGCCCCCACTTAAAAAAAAAAAAAACAAAACAAAACCTTGCTACACATGGTTCCTCCTTACCATTTCCTGTCAGCCAGTGCTGACTCAGCCTCCTGCTCGCAGGTTACTTTTATTTAATCAAACACATCTTTAAATAGTTAACAAAAGCAGTAGGAAAAAAATGCAACACACTTTAAAATGATATTCCCCAGCAACGGGGTCTTTCCTGGCTTGGAACTCTCTATCAAGGATAGGCTGCACAGCCATGGAGATCTAATGATCTGCCTTCCTCCGCTTCCCCGGTGCTAGGACTGTAGACATGACCTACCACACATTGTTTCTTGGGTATGTTCTGGGAGTTGAACTCTGGTTATCATTATTGCTAGGTAATTTCTTTATGAACTGAGACATCTCCCCAAGCAGTTTTGACACTTTGGCGGAGGACTAAGAATAACATGTAAACCCTTGCTTTGACAGTGTCATGAAGATACCAGAGCGGCATCAAAACATTTATCAACACGACATCAGGGGTTGCTATACATCAAAGTTTTATTTTCACTATTGGTGTGTGGGTGTGGGTGTCTCAATTCTCTTTCCACATGTACATGAGTTCTGGGGGTTGAATTCAATGTACCATGCCCACTCAGCAAGCACCTTTACCCACTGAACCATGTTGCTGGCCTTGTATATAAGTATTTAGTACTATTCAGGAAATGTACGGAGGGCTGGAGAGAAGATGGTTCAGTCTGTTAAGTCCTTACCGTGGAAACATGAGTGACTGAGTTCAATCCCCAGTACTCACATAAAAGATAGCCTGGTGATAGACCTCAGTATTCTTAGTGCTGGAGAGACAGCGGGATCCTGGGACTTGCCTAGCCAGTCAGGCCAAGTCAGTGAGCTCCAGGTTCAGCAAGAGACCATGCTTAAACAAATGAAAATAGAGCCTTTGAGATGGCTCAGTGGGAAAGGTTCTTGCTACTTGAGTCTGGTGACCTGAGTTCAATCCCTAGAAGCCAAGTAAAGGTGAAAATAGAAAAACAACTCCATAAAGTTGTAGTCTGACCCTCACATGGCACCATGATGTTCACACACACACACACATGAGAGAGAGAGAAACAGATAGACAGATAGATAGATAGATAGATAGATAGATAGATAGATAGATAGATAGATGATAGAGATCATAAACACAATAATGAATAAAATTTAAAAATACATACCTATGTATGTACACACACACACACACACACACACACACACACACACACACATACACACACGGTAGAGAGAAACTGAGAGACACCCGATGCTGACTTCTGGCCTACAGCACACACACATATACCCATGTGTACCCACATACAGGTATGTACCTCCCCACAAATGAACATACATATACTACACACACACAACTTAAAGAAATGTAAATAAAAATATTAAGGATCATTTCCAACTGTTTCTTGAAAACAATCGGAGAGCCCTTGAAAAATTGTTTCTATTAATACTAATTTAAGAAATTATCGGGTTAGAAAATGCCCAGCCCTTTGTATTTGAGATTAGGAATCTGCATAATGCAATTCAAAAGTCAACCCATACTTAGCACTTTTAAGTAACTGAGCTGTCCTTTTGTTGGTCAGTGGTCATTTGATTGAACTGGAAGCACATCAGACACGCAGACCACCCAACCCGTCTTCAGCAATTATACTTCTGCAAAAAGAGCCAGTGTGTCTGATGCGTGAGGGAGACGAAGATGAAAAGAACGCAGACTGAGGTGAGCACACTATTAAATGCCTTTGCTTCCAAGTTTAGGGAGCAGCTTGGGGAGTCACATACATCTTTTTTCATTGTGCCAAATGGGGCCAAGTGACTACTATTATTTCCATTTCTAAAATGAAATAATAGCGTTCACTAGTGAAGGTTATTGAAGGTTATTTTAAGATTAGTTGAAAGTAATCCGTGTACCATTATTAAGACAAGCCCTGTACTTTGTGCTTGAAGAATAGATGTTTGTAGGGCACACTTCAGGTATCAGGAGTCCTGCTCAGAGTCTAACTTCAAAGGGCTTGCAGTGAAAACGTGGCCGGGTTACAGTTCCTGTGGCTGAGTGTGTAGCCACAGCCACACGCATGGGGCTTTCTTACCTTATCTGCCTGGAAGGTGATGTTTGAACGTGCAGACAAGGTTGGGGGTTCTCTTGAAACCTCTTCAGATTATGTAATGTTTATACCTTCCAATGCTAAATTTTGCCGTTCCTGTAACTAGAGACAAATAAGATTCAGATTTTTTTTTTTTTTTTAGCTTCTGAAAAACTACAGTTAGCAGAAGAAAGAAAAGGAAAAATTATTTCAAACTCACGGGCAAAATTCAAGAGCTGTGGTAGGTAAAATTCTACTCCAAGTTTTGATTGAACACCTTAAAAATGAAACGAAAGAAGAACTGCAAATGGAAATACAAAGAGCTGTTTGCGGACAAATTTGATATAAAGTTAAAGTGAATGGGAAGGATTCCCTATGCTGGGTACCACAAAGCTTTTGAGTTTCCCTTGGATATTTGAATCAAGTACGGAAGCTCTGAAGGAAGGAGAAATCAATTTGTCATGCTTCGTACCAAACACATGAGTTTTATTTTCTCCACATGGAAAGATTGTATCTGTATTAGCTATGAGGATGGCCAAGGAATTGCGCAACACTTAAAATCATAAAGACAGAGAAAGAAAACTTCCATGAAATACAAGCTAAAAACAGACAAACAAACAAAAAAACACCCACAACTTATACATATGAGATGAACCCCTAGGGTTATTAATGGAGCCCTAAACTCTCATACCCCAAGGCCCTTATAGGCATTTCTGGGCAGCACTCAATAAAATCATTGAGACGCCAGACATCCTATGCCTAAAGGTGTATGATTAATTTCTATTCACTAAAAACATTGGAATATTTTACTGAAATTGTTTAATTTTCTAAAAATGATAGGTGAACGCAAAAGAAGTCATCAAGTTAAATAATGACACATATATAAAATCCACCATTCTCAATAAGCACAGTTAAATGACATACCTTCTTATTTAGCTTATTTTGACATCCCTCTCTGTCTGATGATTTTGGTGTTTGGTGTAAGGACATGCATCCTAGATTTCCTGGTTTGTATTTTGCTCACCTTTCATTTATCTGCTTATTATTTATTTTATCAATTACATATAATTTCTAACTTTACAAATGAACTCTAAAACTCTTCCTTCCTTGAAAATATATTCTGGGCCCCATATCTAAAAATGTCAAAGGTATATGATTTGGGGGAGGAAGAAATGTAACAGCTGTCTTAGCAGTTTCTTACTTGTCAAATAAGATTAAACAGAATTAAAAAATATATATTCCATTGGTATGTTCTTTATTTTTAAGCAAAGTGGTCATGTAGACCTGCATGGGGTAGGGAGGCTATTCTTGATGCAAACCAGGCTGGAAAACTCTATACTTTTACATACACAGTAACACTCTACCTCAACATTGCCTACTCAGAAGGAATTATTTGGTCAATTCTCTCTTCCATTAAAATAAGTCCAATGAAAAAATTCCAAAGCCCTGCCAAGACATCTTTAATTAAATGACCCCAGAGTCAAATATAAGAAACTAGCCTTTCTTATATTTTCGAAAGAAAACTCTCTCTTCTATCCTCATTTCAGTGTGCAAGTTCCTGGTATGATACCTTTTCCCAATGAAAAATTGGATAACCTATTTTTTTTAAATTAAATCATCCAAAGCCAGCATAAGCTATTTAGCCAATAACAAAAGAACTTCCTTCCATGGCCCCTTGAGTTGTCTCTGGGGGTCTTGGGTACAGAGGGATGACTCATCATACCACGGGTCACAGTGCACAGTCACAGTGTGCTGGATAGTTTTATGTCAACTTGACACAAGCAAAAGTCATCTGGAGGAGGGAAACTCGATTAAGAAAATTCCTCCATCAATATTAGGACCAAGCTATTTCCAAACTATTTAAATTCCAGTGAGTAAACCAGTAGACACCCGGGATGATACTGAAATATAGGCTACCGAATGCGAAGATGCTTGGTACATCAATAGTACCAGTCATGTTGAAATAGAGAAAGGAATGCCATTGACAATACAAATGGACATGTAGTTAGAGGGATATCCAGAAAAGAAAGAGTAGCCAATAGAACCAACCAAGAGTACTGTTAACAATGAAGACTCCTGAGGACTTGATACCATTAGCAAGACTACTGTTATTCACGGTTGGCCTAACGATGACAAAATGGGAGAAAAAAAAAGAGCCAAACACAAAAACCAGATTGGTAGACCTTTCTTGTGATGGCTATTCTTAGTTGTCAACTTGACTACAGCTGGAATTAACTAAAATCCAAGGACCTAAGCAGTACTGTGAAGGATTTTTCTTAACTATATCATTTGAAATAGGAAGATCTAATCCAGATTTTTTGAGGTGGGAAAATCCACCTTTAATCTGAGTCACAACATCAGGTGGCAGCTTATAAAGAATGTGGAAAAAGGAAGCTTTTGCTCTTTGCCTGATTGCCTTTGCTCTTCCTGGCAAGTTCATTTCTTCACTGGCATTAGAGCCCAACTCTTCAGGGTTCTGGAGTACACTGAAGACCAGATGAGACACCCAGCCTCATGCACTGAACAACTACTGGATTTGTGTACTTTCGGTTGGAAGGCAGCCATTGTTGGACTAACTGAACCACAGCCTGTAAATCACTCTAATAAACCAAATATATGACATGCTCCAACCTTGGAGTGTGTCAGTGGTTTGGATAAGGGCATTCATTGAAAAAAAAAAATGCATCCATAAGATCTGGCTGCAGGCAAGCCTATAGGGCGTTTTCTTAGTTACTAATTGTTTGGGGAGGGCCCAGCCCATTGTGGTTAGGGCTATCCCTGGGCTGGTGGTCCTGGGTTCTATAAGAAAGCAGGCTGAGAAAGCCAAGTAGGCAACACTCCTCCATGGCCTCTGCATCTGCTCCTGCTTCCAGGTTCCTGCCTTGTCTGAGTTCCTGTTCTGATGTTCTTCAGTGATGAACAGCAATACAGAAGTGTAAGCCAAATAAACCCTTGCTTTTGGTCGTGGTGTTTTGTCACAGTAATAGAGACCCTAAGTAAGACACACAGGCTGCTAAGACCTTATCTTCCTGCCTTCACACATACATTTTTGATTCTTTCACTAATTTATTCCTGAGTTCAGTTCCTTTTCATCTCCTCCACTTCAGGCATTCTAGAAATTTCCATGCATGTCACTGAATATACAAATGTATCTGTCTTTGAAAAATAAGTAAACTCATTATATGCATGGAGACTTAATTTACATATTTAACAACAAAGCCTGTTCTTTGGCATATTTTGTATTCTTTCAACACTATAGTTAGGATGGTGCTGTAGTTCCAGTTTCATTCTATCTACCTATTGAATATTATTCCACAGTATGCATCCAATACATTTTATTTATCCATTCTCTTCACATTGTCAGCAATTCCCATCGCCTACAAAGTAGATAGCAGATACCATTGCTAGGTCTATGATATGCATACTAATTTCCTCCAAATATTGCAAACTGATTTCATTCTAGAAGGCCACCCACCTTGAAACAAGGTTCTTATGCCTCAGTCTCATAGTCTTACAAGTACTTGGTATTCTGGAAGGCTGTAATATCTACAAACTCACAGTATATAAAGGGAAATCTCATTTTAACTTGGGCCTCTTTGTTATCTGAGAAGTTTAACATTACCATATATGTATCAGCCATCTGGAATTCTCTTCTATGAATTGCCTTTTCACAATACGTAAGTCTGGTTTACTCTGCAGTACCTTCCTGGGTTTGTTGCTGTTAATATAGAAACTGGGGTTGGTTAGAATGGTTGCCCATCAAGTTTCCTTGGGCTTAAAATATGGCCTAAAAATAAAAATTAGTGTTTGTTGAGATGGCTCAGTGGGTAAAAGCACTTCCCGCACGATTTTCATCATCACATCCCACAGTAGAAGAGAATCAACTCCTGAAAGTTAAGTTGTTTTCAGAACTCCACCCTGGTGCCATGGTAAGTGTATTCCTATAGTCACACTTACACACACACACACACACACACACACACACACACACACACACACACACGCTCATGAATATGCATATGTACATACACTAAGAATAAATTAAACACATTTATAAATTAGATTTTCTATGGGATTCTACACAGCAAGGATGTGAAGCATAAATTTGAATTGAGGCATGGACCAAGTTCCTTTTTCTCTGTGTGTCTGGTTGCTTGGTCACTGTTCATATCTCACTTAAACCCCCACTGGCTTTAAGGCTAGAGAAGGCTAGTCCCACCCAGCAGACATCTTTTGTTGGTTAATACCTTTTTTTTACATTTTTAAATGGCCTAAAAGCTAAATACTTTCTTTTATGTCTTATCAGTTGACAGAAGGACAGTCAAATAATTTTTGTTCAGTTTTGGCACTGAGCAGAATAAACATGGGCTAGGAAGATCTAACAGAGAGCAGACCAAAGACCAACAACCTGAGTCCTAGAACACAGTGCCCATTTGTACCACGTGTCATGGTCCAAGTTGGAGACCTTAACAAGGAAACATATAACAGAGAATATTAATTACATATAGAATCATATATAATACACAATAAAGCACTTCTCTAGAAATAAAAATGTACTAGCCTCAGTCAATTTTATTCATGATTATAATATCATGTAACTTTTATTAATCATTTACTGTCAGAGTTTTTGCTAGACATTTTTTCAACAACCTAATGAAATTCTCATGATGCTAAGCTCTTAATTATAACCATTTTGAGAACAGTCTTATTTATTTTACAAATAATTTATTAGCAACTGTTATGAAATAGTAGAAATGTAAAGTGCCATTCTTGAAGGTATAAAACTGAGACAGGTGAATATCTACTTACTTTGAAAAGTATCCAAGCTGGGCAGTGGTGGCATGTGTCTTTAATCCCAGCACTTGGGAGGCAGAGGCAGGTGGACCTCTGTGAGTTCAAGGCCAGTGAGGACTACAAAGTGAGTTCCAGGACAGCCAGAATTGTTACACAGAGAAACCCTGTCTCCAAAAAGAAAGAAAGAAAGAAAGAAAGAAAGAAAGAAAGAAAGAAAGAAAGAAAGAAAGAAAGAAAGAAAGAAAGAAAGAAAGAAAGAGAGAGATCCAGGAGACATTTTAATTTGGAAAACAAAAAAGCTGTTGCTTAAGAGTTTTATTCCTAAAATTTTAGACATCTTCAAGGAATGATCTCTCTCTTCCTCAATCCCCTTTTTTATGGGCAGAGAAAATGTTAACCTACTCTTTACGGGGGAAAAAATCTTTATATATAATGATTTGTTCATTAAATCATTAAGGATGGATTTTCATGTACTTTATTCAAGACTTTATGATTGTGATTTATTTTAATTATAAATACTACAGTCATTTTATGATGTTCTTTAAACTTTTATACTTGATTTACTTCTTGGGGTTTGTGTGCATGTGCCGTGGTACACATGTGGAGGTCAAAGGACAACTTGAGAGAGTGAGTTCTTCCCTTTCAGCAAGTGGGTTCCTGGGATTGAGCTCAGCTTGTGCAGCCAGGCATCAATTGCTGCCACCTGCTAAGCCATCTCTCCATCCTGTAGTAGTGACCATATTAAGGTAAGAGTAAATGAACGAAAGATGTCACAGTCTCATCAGGTTCTAACAATTTTCTTTGCACTACTCAAAAGAGTGTCTTAGCTTTAAAGCTGATCAATGTAACGACACGCCTACAGGCATTCATGATTGATTAATGCTAACCGAGCCCCGGAAAAGTAAAGAAATCTGTATCCAATTTTCATTAAGTAGATTGATCTCAGCAGATCACTGGCAGCTGGCCAACTACCAGCACCAATTTAATGAGGACAAGCAACATTTACACAGTGATTCTCAGATTCACAGATTAAAAAGTATGTCCGATTACAGTTGTCACTTGACTCTGACAGTGACCTCTGAAGGTAATACTTTATGCTGGGTAACAGCAGCCATGTACGAAGCACCTGCATTTCTGTGTGCCAGACACAACAGGAAGTATTCTGCCTATGCTGGCCTGTTTAATTCTCAAAGCTGTATTATGGATTACACACGCGCGTAAGCTTGAGTAAGTGAGTTACAAGGATAAATATCAGTAAGCAATCGAAGACAAAGGAAACTGTTTTTCTCTGAGAGCCCTGGCAGGTGGCCTAGGACTTTTGCACGGATCCCGTTCATGAGAGGCTCAGGCCTCTTCTCTCTCTGGTGTCCCATTTGTACCTTATGGCTCATGGTGGCTGCTCCAGCTCTACCTACAGGTCTGGATTGTGG